GAACCAGCCAGTCCCCTGCCATGAGGCTGTATCAGAGCTAGCCCCCTCCCATAGGGGAAAGGCACCAAGTCCATTCCCCACTCCCGTGAGCCAGCCTGTTCCCCATCCTGGGGCCAGTATTAGTCTCACCAATGCTGCATAGAGAGGCAAAATCACCTCCCTGCTCCTACGCCCCTGGTTTTACAGCCTAGGCTCTGGCCAGTTTTGCCCCAGTGGTGTGTGGGGAGCTCATGGCACTGCTTGTTCACTGTAAGCCCACCTAGATCCTTTGTGGAGCCCCAGTTCTCCAGGACACAGTCCCGGACCTGGGGAGGTGTCCGCGTCCCTGGGGCTGGGAGGGAGAACACTGCATCAGCTGGATTCTCACTGCTGGGGTGTGACTGGGCCCAGCTCACCAAGTGTCCCAGCTTGGTCCCTGCACCTGCCCTGGTGCACCTGCCCTGGCTCAGTCAGCATTTACCGCACTGCCTGGTGCTGTGACACACGATGGCAGCTTGAGCTGGGACCCTGGGGTGACTCTCATTTCTGGCATCCAACCTGAGACATTGAGCATGTCCAGGACAATCAGATGACCAGGGCTGCATTGTGCTGGGTGCTGTGCAGTGTTTATTAGTGGTGGGTTTGTGTAGGGTGGAGTTTGTGTTTGAGGTAGGGTTGGTAGGGTTGTGTTGAGGGGGTTGAGTTTGGAGTAGAGTTGGATTGGGTTGTGTTGGCCAGGGTTTCAGATGAAGGAACGTCAATAGGCATGTATAATAATAGATCTTGGCCAAGCCAGTGGGAGCTGTGCTGAGCTGGTCTCACCATCACCTCACCTCTTTGGGCCGATCAGATGTCTGAACCAACACCCCGTCTCCTGAGCGGGTCTAGGTTGTTAGGGGATCACTGCGCAATTAGATTCTTAGCCCTGGAAAGCACCTCCCAATTCCCTCCCAGCAGTGACCTCCTGGAACCAAGGAGCCTCCAGATCAGCAGGATACTTACCAGAAAAGGTAATTTCCCCAGGCCTATTCCTGACCCTTTTATTATGGTAGCGCCTAGAAGACCCAGTAATGGCAAAGGATCCCATTGCCGCTGTACATTACTTGTTAGGTGTATCACAGTAGCACCTAGGTGGACTCCCAGCTATAGCCCAGGACCCCACCGTGCCAGATGCTGTACAAGCACAAAACACAGCGATGGCCCCTGTCCCCAGTTGCTCACTATCTAGGTATAGAACAAGAGAAAACAAATGGCTACAGACAGGCTGAGAGGGAAGAACCAGGGGAACAATGAGATGACACTAACAGGCATCGTCTGATGGTGCCGTGTCCCAGTCTGAGATGTCTCTTCCCAGAGCATCAGACCCGCGTCCGGTCCGTGGATCCCTGCTGTACTGGGCTAGGTTTGTGGTGCATTTTCTTTGCAGGGGAGCTGTTGCAAACAGCAATGGAGTTTTTTCCCTGCCTGAATAGCCCCTGATTAGAGTCAGTCCGGGGGCGGGGAGGGGGACGGGAACACACAGAGGCTCTTTGGGATCAGGCCTTGACATCTGGGCTGAGATGCCTGATGGAGGGGACTGACCTGCCTGCTGTTTGTGACCCCTCTGTCTCCAGACAGGTGCAGAGTTGAAGATGAATGACACAAGGGAAACTAAGAATACCCTGGTATCGATTTCTCTTCCAGTGGGCCTAAAGTGCACTCCTGTTGGCAGGGAGCTGGCCTAGGTGTCAGCAGTGGGATACCAGAGTCAGGAGAACTGACAACACACACAGTGATTTGCTTTTTCACTTGTGACTTTCCTTGTCTTTCTAGCAGATCCAGCTTGAATTACTCAAACCCAGGGGGTGAATTCCCCACGGGGCCCAAACCCCTGGTTACACCTCCTAGGTACAAGTTAGCTGGGAGTCCGAGGCTGGGGGCTTCATTCAATTCCCAGGAAGGCACCACTTCATTGTTTTGCAACTTCATTTTTATTCATTGCTGGGTAAGAAGCAGTGAGCGAAATGCACCAAGTCCTGCGGCAGGGCAGGGCAGGGCAGGGCAGGGCAGGGCAGGGCAGGGCAGGGGAGGTTAGAGGGAGGCGCTCAGAGCTGTCATTTCAGCTGAAATCAATTCAGTGCATAATTTCCTAATTTCTCTTCCCATGAAAAAACTCCCACTTTCCTTGTCGGCACTGGGAGCAGGTGTCTTTGGAACGGGGGGTTGCTACCCCTGGGGAAATAATGTGGAAAAGGCCCAGTGAGGACAGGGCAGGCTGCAGTTTTAACAGGAGTTAGCAGGTCAGGTAATGATGAGGATCTCCCATAAACGGTCACTTGACGGGCTAACACTGGGGAGAGCTACAAACTGCCAGGTCTGCCCCAGGGTTTGGCCCGTGTCCATTACCCCGGGGGAACTAAACCAGCTGTTTCCCTAGCAAAGACGCAGCCTAAGGGCCAGGGTTGGGATCACCAAGGGAGCTGAGGGAGTTGGAATTGAACATGGCTCCTAACTCCCCGAGGCTCCCTGCCTTGATACTCATGGGTTGGGCACTGCCTGAGAGGAGCGATGTCTGGGGTGGGGGAGATCAGCCTGGGGGGACTCAGCCCCTCTGCAAAGCAGGCCCTACATCCTCTGTTCATTGTGTTCCCAATTCCTAAGGTTGTGGGTTCCCAGCCTGACAGCAATGATGCTGTAAAGCCAAGAAGAACACATGTTGCTTCAGGGCAACAGAGCACATGAGGTAGGGATGGGCCCATGTGAGTCTGACTCATTAATACTTATGTTGGGGGCTCTCAGGAAGAGATCTAGGACTCAGCTTACAGCCTGAAATAATGTACATTCCTCTGAACACATGGCTGGCTCTGATCAGACCTCATGGTGGAAGACTGGCTGGCTCATTGGGGCAGGGAATGGGACACAGGGCCTTTTCCATCTAGGGGGTGCCGGTTGCAGCATAAAGCCCCTCCCTTGTGATGTTGGGGTCCCAGCCTGTGTCTCTACCAGGCCTTGTGCTGTTCCCCTGAGTTCCTTCACTCCCCATTGTCCTCCTGGCCCCTGGGTCTCAGCTCCCCTGCAGCCTGGTGACCCCTCCCCAGTCAGATCCAGACAAGGGACTATACACAGCTCCCCCTAGACCACAGCACTGTGAGCCCCTCCATGCCCAGGTCAGGACAATGGGCCACATCCAAAGCTGGTGCAATGGGATGGAGCTCCACTGGAATCAATGGGGCCAGAACCTCAGCTGGTGTCAATGGGCCATAGCTCCATTGATTTACCCAGCATTGGATCTCGATCATGGTTTCCGCAGGCCCCTAGAGACACACCGACACCCCGTGAGCAGATCAGACCCCTGGGCTCTGCTCTCCCAGCCTGTCGCACTCACTGCTTCTTCCCTGCAACCTACGACGGTGCCAGAGCTCCCGGCTGCCCCATCACCTGCTAACCCCGACCTGCCCCGACATCCCCAGCACAGAGGCGCTTACTCTCCATTGCAATGAGTGGCCGTCAGCATGAAGTTCTCCGACACCAGAAACCCTCCACATCGAAACCTCTTGTCTCTGCTTTGTATATCCAGGCCATGTAGGGTCTGGAGTGGGGCAGGGCTTCCCAGCCCCCAATGATCTCACCTGGGGGGGGAACAAATTCATCTAAAGAGCCACATCATCTCCCTGGGCCAGGCTGGGATCAGTCTCCCCATCCCAAAGGGGAGTCCCCACAGCCTCAACCCACCTCCTGTGATGCTCTCCCTGGGGGATTCCTGTACCAGGAACTTTGCCCCATGCTGAGCTCTGCCCTGCACTGGACACCCCCTGGTAAATCTAAAGCTCTCACCTCGCTGGGTGGAGAATCGGTGCCAAATGCACTGGGAGCAGGTCAGTAATCGCACTGCCCTGAGTTAACGGCTTTGTGGGCCAGTAGCACCCAGAATGCCACAGACACGTCCCCGATGATGTTTCACCTTCTCCGTCAACCGCCAGTGATGAGCCAGGGCTACTCCCAAGCTGTCCCCTCCCCCCGCCCCACAACTGTTTTTGTACAGAAAATCAGGTTTTCTAGATAATGAAAAATCTCCCAGAAAGCATCTCCTCGCTTCAAACATTTCAACATTTTTCTTGGCATACTGATCATTCCCCCCAGCTTTCGGCACTTTTCAGCTGACAATTTGTAAGTTTTCGGTCACCAAAACAATTTTCTCTTTGGTCACACTAGAGATTAAGAAGCAGTGGCAAGGTATGCAATGGAAACATGCCGTCCCCCATCCGTTTAGCCCTGCTGCCGTCACTATCCCTGACCCTTTACTGCTTTCATTTCTCCAAATGTTACCTAGATTGCCAAGAGCTAAGGAACATTATATGCACACCTGGCCAGCAAATTTGAACTAAATACTGATCCTCTAAAAAAGCATCGGGAAGAGGAACAAAGCCAATTATTTTCTGCTAACCAAATGGAAATAAATAGTAGCCAGTGCTCCGAACTGCTCCTTGGAGCTGCATTTCAGATTAATTCCACAGGAATTCATACACAGGAGGTCCTGGACCTCCCTTCCACTGTTCAAACCAGATGCTGCTAAGTCAGACAAATGTTGGTTCTGAGATTCGGCAGGTGCTGACTTAACCCATATGCTCTGGGAAGGCATCTAGATGCATAGGCTTTGGGTGGAACTGAATTGGAGAGTACATTTTTTCCTATCAAATAAAATTAAACCTGTAATTTTCAACCTAATGAGTATTAATTGGAAGCAGAATAAATCTGAAAGACTTTGGCTAAGCAGAGCACCAGCAGTGGTGAAAAGACTAGCCCC